AGTTAACTCAAACTGTTGCCTCATTCCAGTAAAGAATTCAGGCGGTGGTGGGTCGTTGGCACCACAGCCACGACCAGCGGGTCTAACCATCCTGCTAACATGTAACAGGGGTAGTTCAGCATTGAGCATTTGCAAAGATAAGGATCATTCATGATGAAAACATGCATAATGAAGGAGGTACGATGGATTCCACTCCGTAGTCAACACGACAGGGTGTGCACTACGCAAAAAGCTATTCTAAGGAATAACTATGGCTTCATCCAACTTCGGGGTGAATGTGGTCACGGGATCCTAATGTTAGTAAATTCATTTAACCCGAGTAGAAGAGAGTTCAGAGTCCCAGAGTATAGACGAGGAGTAAAAGATGCTAATACCACCCAATAGCGACGTGGGCCCGTAAGCCACACAGCCAATGTTAGTAAAAGTTTTCAGTGACTAGACTCAACTTCGGCCAAGGAGTTGGAAAGGGGGCTACCTACAGGCAGTCGGCTCTGATACCAACTTGTGACGCCCTCGATTCAATCGTACACTAATCATACACGCAAATGTGTACGATCAAGATCAAGGACTCACGGGAAGATATCACAACACAACTCTAGACACAAATTAAAATAATACAAGCTTTATATTACAAGCCAGGGGCCTCGAGGGCTCGAATACATCAGCTTGAATACAAACGAGTCAGCGGAAGCAACAATATCTGAGTACAGACATGAGTTAAACAAGTTTGCCTTAAGAAGGCTAGCACAAAAGCATCTACGATCGAAAAGGCAAGGCCTCCTGCCTGGGAGCCTCCTAACTACTCTTGGTCGTCGGCGTCCGTCACGTGGTAGTAGGCACCCTCGGGGTAGCAGCAGTCATCAAAGGTGGCATCTGGCTCCTGGACTCCACCATCTGGTTGCAACAACCAGAAAGAAGAAAGAAGGGGGGAAAAGGGGGAGCAAAGCAACCGTGAGTACTCATCCAAAGTACTCGCAAGCAAGGATCTACACTACATATGCAACATTATCAAAGGAAGGCTGTGTATGTGGACTGGGCTGCAGAAATGCCAGAATAGAGAGAAGGTCTAGTCCTATCGAAGACTAGCATCTTCTGGAAACCACCATCTTGCAGCAAACAGGAGGGAGTAGAGTAGCATAAAGTAAAGTGGTAGTAGTGTTATCAACCTCGGCCAGAGATCCTTTCTCGACTCCCTGCGAGAAAGCAATCCCAGAGCCATACTATCCAGTTATCATCACAATCAAATCCTCATCACCATCCAGTTCTCATCACAAGTATCCAGTTCTAGTTGTATCGATCGGGATACAACTCCAAGTGTCCGTTACCGTAGGACAGGCTATCGATAGATGTTTTCTTCCCTGCAGGGGTGCACCAACTTACCCACCACGCTCGCTTAACTCCGGCCGGACACACTTTCCAGGGTCATGCCCGGCCTCGGCCAAACAATACGCCGCAACCCGACCTAGACTTAACAGAGAGGTCAGCACGCCGGACTAAACCTATGCCCCCAGGGGTCATGGGCCATCTCCCCGGAAACTCCTACACGTTGCGTACGCGGCCGGTGAGCAGACCTAGCTACCTCCTTCAACAAGGCAGGCGCTTGCGCAGTCCAACCCGGCGCGCGCCACTCAGTCGCTGACGTCTATTAAGCTTTGGCTGATGTATACGACGCAGAACGCCCATACTATGCCCACATGATGGTTAGTGCTATCAGGCCAGAGGCCCCTCGGATCAAATATCCAAATCGTAGTGGATTAGGAACGCGCGGTAACAAGCAGAGACTCACGAAAGAGGTGACCCCGTTGCCCCGTCTCGAGGACTTGCGACAAGGGCTAAGAATGCCTGGCCACGCCTCGTAATTATCTCACCGGCACCTTCCAGGTCAACCCGTCTCCACATCACTTTCCAAGTAACAGTTGTAAATTCCAAGTATCCGTGTGTCCAAACATCAAGAGGAAAACCCAAGGAATCACCCTCGGTGGGTTCCACTCAATGTAATCATCAAGGTGAACGTAGAGGAATCACCCTCGAGGTTCACACTTGAGGGGTTGCACGACAGAGTCGTATCGGAAGTGGATAAAGAGGAAATCACCCTCGATGACCACGACCGAATAGCTACACTACAGGGTTAACATCAGAAGTGTTGTAGAGGTCTCACCCTCGGCACTCGATAGTATCCCAGTAGTGTCGAGCAACTAAGGGGAAAGTGATGTGCGGTGACGGGGCCTGGTCTTCGATCCCGTTGATCGGGTCTTCAATGATGAAGCAGGGGCAACAAGGACAAGGTGGGGGTCACTGATGGATCACTAACCAACCTATACTAAGCAGTTTAGGATAAGCCGGTAAGGTAACAATAAGCAGGTTACAAAAGGAGGCTATGCATCAGAATAGGAGCAAACAATAACAATAGCAAAATCTAATGCAAGCATGAGAGAATGGAATGGGCGATATCGGGATGATCAAAGGGGGGGGCTTGCCTGGTTGATCTGGCAAGGAGGGGTCGTTGTCGACGACGTAGTCGATCACCGGGGCATCAGCGGCCTCGGGGTCTACCGGAGAGAAGAGGGGGAAGAAACAGTAAATACATAGCAAACAGAGGTAACACTAAGCATGACATGACGATACGTAGCGCTAAGCGTGCTCTAACGCGGTCCTAGACGTTATAGGTGAAGGGGGAAATCAGTCGGGAAGGTGTTCCCGGTTCCGGACCTGTGTCAGACAGATGACCGGAGGGGGAAAGTTCCATGTTCAGCATGCTAGGGGCATGTGACAGATGAACGGACCGCATATTCGGATTCGTTGGATTTTTCTGAGCAACTTTCATATAGAAAACATTTTCATCCGAGTTACGGTTTATTTTCTATGAATTTTTAAAGATTAAACCATTTTCTGGATTTATTTAAATTAACAGAAAGGATAAAATGACGTCAGCATGACGTGCTGATGACGTCAGCAGTCAACAGACTCGCTGACCAGGTCAAACTGACCTGTGGGTCCAGTGGGACCCACATGTCATAGACAGAGAGCTAATTGAGTCCATTTTAAATTAAACAGAGCTAATTAAGGGGGGTGGGCCCCGGGTGTCAGTGGCTGCATAGGTTAAAAAAACCATTTTAAAATACACTAAGGTTAATTAGCGAGTGGGGCCCGCCTGTCAGTGGGCCAGAGTGCCCAGTCAGCAGTTGACCGAAGTCAACAGGTCAGCCAGGCCCACGGGTCAGCGACCCAGCGGGTGGCCCCAGCCGGTCAGGTCAGCAGTGGTGCCGGAGCTAGCTCCGGCGACCAAAGCAACGGCGGCGCCTCGCCGGAGTTGGCTGAGGCCGCACTACAGGGGGCCTCAGGACCTGCGGCTTGGACCTAAGGGCGCGGCCCGGCGCCGCGCACACAATGGTGACGACGACCGACGCCGGGGACGGCCGGAGCATCGCCGGCGGCGAGCAGAGGCGGCAGCGGCGTTCGGGAGCGTGTCGGGAAAAGCCTACGGGGCGCCAAATCGGTCGCGGCTGGTCGCGCTCGAATGGACCTTCGACGCCGCATCCATCTACGGTGGTGGGGCGGCCCGTAACGGGCTGGAACGACGACGGCGAGTGGCGGGGCGGACGCTGGCGTTCGGCCGCGGTTGGAGACGAGGCTAGAGGGCGCGTGAGAGGGAACGGAGAGGGAGAAGGATGAAGGGCTCACTGAGCGGCACAAGGAGGCCGATGATAGGCTTAGTAGCAGCAGCAGTTGCCGGAGACGACGGAGTTCGCCGGCGACAGAGGCGAAAGGGGGCGGCTCGATCCGCACCCCGCAGTGGCTCCCGGCTCGCGCTCACGGACGGGGACGGGGTAGACGACGACGGCACAGACGATGGACGCGATGGCGAGGCGAACGGCGTTCGATGGCCGCGAGGACGGGCGAGGCACGGCGGCGACCGCGTCGGCCTCCTCTCCAGAACGAAGGAGTGGGATAGGGAGAGGCGGAGAGGGCGAGGGGGTTCGAGGCGTGGGTGGAGGTAGGTGGGGAGGAGGTCGAGGCGTCGAGGGGAGGGGCCCTTATCCACCCGCGGCGTTGCCGGCGAGGTGGTCGGGCGGCGACGCGCCCCTGTAGCGGTGCGCACCGGGGGAACAGGAGGGAGGGGAGAGCGATGCGGGGAGCTGGGCCGGCTGGTTGAGGTGGGCCGAGGCCCATGGGGGGGCACGGTGGCCAGCTGGCCAGTCGGCCCAGTTGAGGGGGGGGGGGCTTTTCCTTTTCTTTGTTTTTTTGTTTTTCTTTTCCAGCAGCTTTTGCATTTTCTTTTTGCCACAATTGACTTTGCAAAATTATGCCACTGGCCAAAACAATCTCAAAGAATTATTAGGCACTGCCAAAAAAAGATTGTGAGGCTTTAGAAATAGTTTGCCATTTTCATAAATTAAAAAGGCATTTAATTTATTTCTTAGGCCACTGTTTGAAGTAGCTTAGGCCACTCAAACCTTTTTGCAAAAATGTTGGTTCACCACCAATATTAGTTGTGGATTATTCTGCACATGATGAACATTTTTGTTTTCATGTCTGAGCATTTTGAATTTCAAACAAAATTTGAATTTGAATTCAACTGGAATGTGAAAGAACATGAGACAATAATGATCAGGCACATGTTTAGCAAATAGATTAACTTAACCCCAGGGGTTACTGTAGCATCATTACACCGGGGTGTTACACCGTTGAAGCAAATACCATGATGCAACGCGTTGTCGCCATTGTTGCAACGCTATCGTCGATGTCATTTCCTCTGCTCCAAGCTGCATCTCCCGTCGTTTGAAGCATAGCCCTTATTGCAGCGCGTCCCAACGAGCCACTGCCTTTGCATCATCTCTGTGCACCTCGAAATCATGACTCTACAACATCGACCCTGCCCTCTATTAGCAACAGTGTTCCCCTCGTGTAGCTCACCTCTAACCTGCGGCTGCTGCAATGGGATGGTTGCAGCAATGTTGTTGTTGTTGTTGTTGTTATTGTCGGCTCGCTTTCGTTTGCAGCATGGTGACCATGGTGACAGGTGCAAAACCCACCGACGGCGGAACCTTGTGGCAGCAGTGGTTGGCGTCACCGGCTCGCCGCAATGTGGCTGTTGCAATGAGGGGACGCAACAGTGGAGACGACTTTGCCCCTCCCGGCTAGCAAGAACGAAGGCTTCTATGATGAGGGATGACATAGCGACAGGGACGATGCCCTCGCCTTGCAACAAGACGCCTACTGCAGTGAGGGATTGCAGCAACACAACTATTGCGCTAGGAATGATGCATCCGCACAGTGATCGTCGACATAGCCCTCCCGTATGGCATCATGGTTGTTTGCGGCAACCTACCTAGTCGCGAGCGCGGCCTGCATCTAGTACTGCAACGAGAGAGAGAGAGAGAGAGATAGGGCGTGTTTGGTTGCCCGTATAGAGGCCAACCAGGCCCGCGTGGGAAGTAAGAGGCCTATTTGGTAGCCCGCATACACTATTGGGCCTGCAGCGCACGCTTCTTAAAGCACCTCTGGGCCTAGCTGGTTGAAAACGCAAGAATCGGCAGTTTCTCTGGAGCCAGGCCGAGCGGAAGGGCAACAAGCGGGCCCCTGCACGAGGAGAAACGAGAGGGATGCGAGGTGTTATCTCCTCTCTTCCATGCCCTTCTAATCTACACAGCCATGCTTCAATTCGTGGTAAGCTCTACACGAAAAAGATGCACATCGATGCTACGGTTCCATTCAAGCGATCGGTTCGTAGTTTCGTCGGCCGTAAGTTCTTAATCTCGTGTTCCCGTTTGGAGCTATTCTAGACGAACTTCGTCAGATTCATCGTGCACGATGGATCATTTGAAATTTCCTTTGACCAACAACCTAATCTCGCAGTTCCTCACAACATTCGTGTTGTAAGTTTTTGGTTTCGACGATCATAGCTTCATCTCTTTTTTAGGAGCAGTCTACTGCACTGACGCCGCCATGTCGAGCTCCTCTATCCTCTGCTCAGAGCCCTCCTATTCGTCTCTCTCGACGCCGAAGACCTTCCCCTTGATCTCCTTGCCCGCGTGCTACTACACTAGAGTCGTTTCTGGCATCGCTCATCTCGGCCTACTCTCTGTCGTCCTCCTACTACACTGACGCTTCAATGACGCGCACACTGCTTTCTTGTGTCCTCTGCCTCCGTGCACACTGCAGTTCGCCGCGCCACTGACAGGGTCAATCATCTTAGCCTCCTCTCTCGTTCATTGCACTGACGATAGTATGGCGCGAGCACTGCATTCTCCTCCTTTGCCCATTGTCTTTGCGCGAGCACCGCAACTAGTTCGCCAACGGTGTCGCTCGCCGTGCCGCCGACGGGGTCGCTCGTCCATGATTCCATGCTTGCCTTGTCGGACACGGCGCCACAGCCACTATCCACCGTAGTCGCCATTGTCCGACGCACACTGCACTTCTTCTCCCCTTCCCTTTGCTAACTCTTAATCATACCTCATGCGTGCAACCAAACACTGAGTTCATGTGCCGCTTGGGCCAATGCAGGCAACTAAACAAAGCACATTTGCGTACTACCTAATGCAGGAACCCTAGATGCAGGCAACCAAACAACTCACAGATGTCGCATATGAGGCTCTTTTTTCAAAACCAGACTGGGTTGAGATGTGTATGCAATGCAATTACTATTCACTACGGCAACCAAATACACCCATAGAGAAGAAAGGAGGACGTGAAAAGATAAAGCAATGGTTGAATATTCGCAAGGGTGGGAAGCGGCGTACCAGGCCGACGAAGGACATGTGCTCTCAACGCTGTTTAACGCTACGGTATGATTTCTCGGGTGGTCTAGAACGTTAAAATTGTAAATACATATGGCTGAAACATAATTTTATAACATAGCACCAGTCAGTATCAAAGTAACTTTGGTGACATGGAGTCTTAGCACAAAGAAAAAATATCACATATAGATTTTCACTTTGATTATACCAACACTGTAGAAAATCCTGTTATGTAAACCTTCCGTTTCAAAATACAAGTCTTTCTACAGATTTTAATACAAACTACATACAAATGTACATGGACATATTTTATAGTGTAGATTCACTCATTTTGCTCCGTATGTAGTCCCTTATTGAAATCTCTGAAAAGACTTATATTTAGGAACAGAGGGAGTAGAACATAGGCGTTAACTTGGATCAACCTCTTGGTAATCAAGCAGGAGAACCCCCATATGAATATGCAAAAAGATGATATAACCCTCAGCAATTTTCACTTTAAGTAATTTCAGGTATATAAATAAGGCCCTGAAATGGGCCGGCTCAAAGGTTCACACGTCGTCAGAACGGAAAAACACAAAGCCACCAGTGCTTTCTTGTACTTTCTACAGCGACTACTGTTCAGGTTTAAGCCTCATTTGGCAGAAACTCGTGTCAAATGACCAATTTACACGTACAACCCAACTCTCTTACTATTGTTATGGATCCGTCATGTCAATCAACCAATGAAAGCCACCAAATCCATATATAAACATGATAGGCAATAAACTGTCCACGAGAAATAGACAAATAGCAGCTTGCATGTTGAATTGCAATGGCCCCCAGTAACTAGTTACAAAAGCCCAGTAACTAGTTACAAGTTGCTTCAAGCTGTAATAGGAAAGAATGGGCAAGTGAAACCACTGTCATTATCTCACCATCATCGCTCATCAGGCAAACTTCCATCTAGTTCAGTCCAGACCAGTTGCTGTAGCAACCAAACAGCAGTATAGCTGGTTGTCAAATTCATTCAAGTACCCACCTGTTACAGCTAGGTTATCAGTTCCTCCCTAGTTCTATTTCTATATCAAAGATACCAAAACATTATGACAACCAGGACAGCATGCAATATTCTTTCTACAGATAACCAAGTACAGACCTAAGGTGAAAGCCGTAAAGTAAAAATATAGGTTGAATTATCTGAACTCAACAAAGAATACTAACTTAACCAATATTAGCACAAAACAACACCCAGACTATATAGTCATAAAAAAAAATCCTCTTTTCAGAAAGCCCTAGGTGATATTTTTGCTCCAGGTGTCCTCATCATGTTCAAATCCTCCATCTGTCATCGAGTCAGTTATCTTAAAATGTATGCTTTGGGATGAACGAAAAGAAACTTGAGTTAAGATCATGATTTAAAGTTTTGATTATGTTATGTCTGGCTATTGTAGAGTCACCGGACTCAGGTAGCTGACTTGGCCATGGCACCCGCAAGTCATACTGGTGTCGGCTACACAGGACTAGTCAATGTCTCCTATATCAGGTTAATCTCTACTCCGTAGGCCAATCGGGAGCAACGCTTTCTCCTTTAAAACAAAAGGTTGCGGCCAGGTAGGGCTCATGTTCAAAGCTTTGGGGCGACAAGAAGAAACTAGAGTTGAGGCTGCTGTGAAGTCACCGGACTCTGGCAACTGACTCAGGTGGCAACTGACTCAGGTAGCCTACTCAGGCCTGGTGCTACCCGCAAGTCATTCTGGATTCGGCTATCCACATGACTAGTCAATGTCCTATATCCGGTTAGTACTACTCCGAAGGCCAAGGGGGAATAACACTTTCTCCTTTGAAACAAAAAGCTGTGGCCAGGTTAGGGGTTTATCTTTCTTTTAAACACCAACAATAGCACTTGGTTAGCTGATAAAACTGAGCTGGATACTGGCCAGACTTTGCAGGGTCTGTCTCTTCGTTGTAAGATCAGCTAATGGGCCTGCTCACATCTGTGCTAAACATGCTTGCACGATTGAGAGGACCGATAGTTGGCTCGATAACACTCCCGGATTCCTGGTCAGTGCCCTGTCGGCGGACTGCCCAGCGAATACCTTTAATTAATAAAGCTCTCTATTAGCCTGCAAAAAAAAAGGGTCAGTGCCAATCTTCTTAGGTCGACAAGCTTCATCATCCTGAGCAACTTCCTGAAAGAGAATCCAAAGCACTGGAATTAGCTTATGGAACAACACAAAAATAATTACAAAACAAAAAGGCTCTTGCAGAACACAACATAGAAAATGTGAGCTTAAAATGAATGTGCTACCAACACATGGTTTGTTAGGTGTACAGAGATGTATACCACACTGGATCAATCAAGAGCTTATATATGCAGATTACAAGGCTATAGCAAGCAACATACCCAACTAAAAAATTAATGGATGGGTGCCTCCGCAGCAGATTATGAACTTAAGCAATGATAATAAGAGCTCCAGCTAATAATAATAATAAAAGAATAAACTGCAATCTGGCCTATTCGTAAGAATAAGCAACAAAAGAAACATGTTTGTTTGTTCAATCCATGAGTAAGAGTTGATATCATATCCAGACTCATGGCTGGAAGAAAGATAGTTCAGAGCTCAAACATGGTTAATAGTGATCCGCTGATATAATCCACTCGCTGGCACAGGCCAGTCACTTGCACAAGATTAAGGGCGGAGTACTGTAATCTATATTTGTTTTCCATCTACTGTTATGGACTAATCTTCAATGGGTACAGCAATGGCTAGACAAAATAGATGGGTTACAAAGAAGTGCCAACGTAGGTGGGATCACACAGCCGCATTGCTTGCGCATACAAATGACCTCAGGGTATATTCAAGTTTGGCAGGCCACAGGATTCATGGTTAACTAACCTAACAAGTCTACTCTAATATATATGGTACATTACTTTTTAAACAGCATGCTGAACTTGTCGTTTGTAGGTTAAACGTTGACTCGACATGATGCATTCCACAGCATTCCATGACAAATAGTTAATAAACAGAAATAACGAAATTTGGCTTTGTTGCTCTGGAACAGCATCACAAGATGCAAAGGTGGCTACATGGCACTTGTGAGATCATGATTGAAAATGTTGACGTGAAATGGAACCATAGCTTGGATGACTGACAGTTCTTCGGAAACCCCTTTTAGTTCATAGAACTTAATACATTACAAAGTATGGCCATATTCATTCATAGTGTAACCATAATATTACACTTATATTTATTGAGAGCTACTTACATGCAAGAACAATGACCGATGCTTTGCCATATACACAGCACAGGTCAGTAATGCATAGAGCTATAGAGTTTTGGATATTAAAGCTAATGTTGTGTCATAAGGATGAATAGACCACTTTAAGGCCATCACACTGATAACACTGCCAATGGCGTATGATGT